AGCTGCGTGCTCCGCCCGTTCCCCCTCTTAATTCCATACGCGCGGGACGGAATTTACGCACCTGCACCGCGTATCGCGTTTATCGGAGATCGACCACTCGGCTCGCGTAGCTTATTACGCGGCGACGGCGGCGGCGTAGATTAGTGCTGAATGCGACACTGCAGCCGTGTACACGACCTCTCCTCAAGGAAAAATGATTCTCCAAGTTGATCGAGAAGCGGTGTCGGGTGTCTGTAGACCTCCACCTCTCTCGCTACGGAAACCCATTCCCCCGGACGGCTGAACTGGGGGGATGACGCAGGTCTTGGGCTACTTTTTGAACGGACTCCAGACACTTGCGAGGCAACGATCTCGGATGAAGGCAGTAAGACGCAGAGGCATTTCCCGCATCTTTTGATCGAGGAGGAGAGGCTTGATGTGATCGACGAGCTGATGGTCTTGCCGATCACAAACAAGCAATCGAGGATTTCCTCCCAAGCTCTACGAGGAGGATTGTCGATAAACTGCGTATTTCGTGTAAACGGAAAGTCATAAGCGACCCGGACGAACACGAACCCTTCCTGGGCTCGAGCCATCTCATCGATAATTATCCTCGGAGAGAAAACTGAGAGCCTGATGCTTTATTAATGGAGCAAGTGCGTCAGAAGACGATTTCCTCCCTTCGACGTGGAAAAATCAATTTTGAAGCGGTTCTGGCCGACAGGATAGGAGAAGAGGATGGAGCGGAAACGGTCTGAATTAGAATCCAACTTGATGGCCGGACGGAGTGTTCTGGAGGGGAGTGAGGACGGCAAACGAAGCAGACGAACACTTATCGTCTGTGCAACCGGAGCCGAGTCTTTCAGCCGGAGTCACAATTGGTTGTTCGGAACGGTGTCTTTTCTTTTCCGAGACTGGAGTTTCCGTCATTGTCGTCCCGGTCGCCTCGGCAGTCGTCGCGGCGCTGGAGATAGACGCCGTTGACGGTAGCCGTCGGGCGGCGTTGTAGCGGTGCCGGTGGCGGCACTAGCCGGACTACAGCAGGCGCTGCCTTCGACACGCCTTTCCGGCCAGTAGGCGGACACATCCAGATGTCAGTAGCGCAAGTTGTCTGCGTCCTCGAGCAAGCTGCTGATTGTAGACGTGATCCCTCTGCTTGTCTACGTACGCCCACGGACAAACCAAGCAAGCCCGAGGAGCTCACTGTCACGCGACGGATCCTCCTTGTCATCCAGTCGGACACGACACGTCGATTCCAAAAAAAACGTGGCTTCCGATTCGCTACCGATCACAGTGTAATGCAAAGTTACACACTTCGACCGGAGGGAACTAAATATTTACTTTCGAGTCATCGGGGACTCCCTCGAGAGAGGCATGTCGGCACCGAATCAATAGCTCACCGCGATTGGTATCCAATGAGTGTCCGAGGAAACTTTGTGATAGATACTCTGTTTGCCCAAGGGGAACTGACCCTCCGAGATGATTCACTCAGGGTTCGCCTACGTGGTCAATACTACGCGATGAACTATTCGGGTTCAAACTCCGAGTTCGCCCCGCTCGGTACGAGTCAGTCGGCTGTGCTACGCGACATCGTACATGTGTGCATCAATCAAGTCGGCGATCTTGTCATCTGTTATCAGGCTGCGGCTTCCGAACGCCAGACCACTTCTGTCCGGCTTTCGAATTGTTTGAGTTAACATTGGACATTGGACCCCGCGGCAGAGAGGAACGCTGTTGCTGTGGCACGAATCGTCGCGATAAAGGGTCTTCTGAAAGGAGCGGATGCACAGAGTTTGTGTAGGCGGTCTCGTTATTGCGTAGATATTTCTTTCGGCGCAACCCTCGCGTCTAGTATCGACGCTTCCGCTTTTCCCATGCAGAGAGCTCTCGTGGTGGCGCCGATGTGATCTAAAGGACAGCTCCGACGGGACCTTGATCGTTCGGTCATACACAGACGCGGAACTCGGCGGCCCGATGATTCTCCGAGGGGCATAGCTTCGATGATGTTTGACCTTCGGCTCGTGATCGCGGGAAACACTTGCATTTTCCTCGCTTTGATTTGGGATATGTGCTCGGATGCTTCTGATGGAAGGCATTGAACAATGCCGCTGCATATCAGGAATATTCGGGACGAGGATTCCGAGCAGAGCTCTCACTCAGACACAGATCCTTCACGGTGATACCTTTGTCGGAAGCTACGGGTTCGTCCTCGACGGATTCGAATCGGAGCTTTCGGATTTGAGGAAATTACTCGCGCTCCGACGACAGCAATTCACCTTTAGAAAGACATGGAATCGTTTCTATCTCCGTCGACTTTCTCGCGAAAGCTCGTAAGCCCGATTCTATTTGTGCCGGATCGTCGAATTTATGCAGGAGGACTTCTCGGTCGGTGGAGAGCTCGACGTCTCTCCTCGTATCCCTCTTCCGACGATTCGGAATGGCAGGAATTCCGGAGTATAGAGCGCCGCTCCCAACTGCGAGCCTTCTACATATATGCATGTCGAGCACAGTTTTGATTCTGCTGCGGAATTTTCCCTCGTCCGCCTCTCTTCGGAACGGCACTTCCCGATCGCCACACAACGCGGCGTCGCAATCCCCCATAACGGAAGCGCGTCGGCTCATGAGTCTCATTAGGGTGCCGTTGACGCAATTTTGCGATCTCGGAACCTCAGCTTCTCGACGCTTCTCGCACGTGGTTCCCCCGGCAATTCCACCAGATTCGTCGGTTTGCCGAGATTGCGAGAGAGAAACGTCCCGACGAGTGCGGCTGGGTGTGATCGAGCGACATTCGGGTCGATCTCTGACATGTTCCATAATTCCACACGCATGGAACGAACGTATTTGAATCAAGTTCTAAACGGAAAAACGCCCTCCCGGAATCGAACGATGTCCCATCGATAACGGTCGAAGTCTGATAAGTAATTTGGAGTATCAGTGGCTGTCGTATAGGAAACTGAGCACTCTCTATCGGTCCCGACATCGGCGATGGCGGACCAGTGACCGGTCTGGAAGGGTGCCGATCTCTTGATGAAAATAACTGAATAAGAGTTTTGCGGGTCGGGAACAAATCTCTTTTCCGCAGGAAAGCGCTGTCGTGTCTCGTCAAGCTCGTCGCACGTGCCTCAAGTTCGGGCGGTGGTCTATAATTGTATGGCGCCGGATGAAGTTGGGAAATAGAGGCAGCCGAAGAACCGCTCCCGCGAAGCTTGTCGTGCCGGGACGAAGGATTGTTGGCGACCGAAAAACAGATGAATATGTTCCCCGCTCTACATTTGAGACATACTCTCCCGCATCGATTGAAATTCCGAATAGCTTCTGTTACCCGTGAATTCGCCGTTTCATTAACTTCTCTGCGTGCGTTTTCCCATCAAGCTCGCCGCTGCGCCGCGCTGTCGGATGAGCTTGACCCCGCTGGATGTAAATCATGATTATGTTCCAGACCGTGTTTGTGGGTCGTGCGTCGTTGCCAGAGGCTGTCGGCACTTTTATTGGAAGTTTTAACCCCTGTGGAAACGATATCCGTTGGAGGCAACCCGTTGAGAAAAACAATCTTGAATAAGTGAGACTCGAAACCGTTCAAAAAGTTTCTTCAGCATTTTCGAAGGGGATGATGACACTGCCTCACGAATTTGAAGATGCTCCCACATTTCCGCTCGGGACATTTTGGTATTTCGAGCGGGGAACGAGCTCGAAGTTCCCCGCAATCCTCTGCGCTCACTTGCTGCTCCTATTCCAAAGTGATTTCATTTCCACCTACGTGCTTCTGTGTCGTCTTCAGACTCCCTGCGTTCTCTGGACGCGACAGCGAGTATTCCCAGTCGGGCGTTCTAGCTCAAATCGAGATCCTTCCACCTACCGACAGAGACGTTGCGGGAGAATGAGAGCGCGGTCAAAAAGGGGCTTCCTCTCCGCGCTATACTGTTAGCGGAACGCTTCCAAAGGCATACCTCGAGCGTTTTGAGTTGAAGCAAACGAAGATCGCAGGTGGCATTGACCGCGGTTTGTCAGGAATCGATGTCGCGTATGAGGAATAGAACTTGGAAGAAAAACGACTGGGCAAAACAATCTTGAATTCAGGGAATCACGAAAATTGAGCCGAGCTGCGGAGATAGCCGTGTCTGATAGGTAGTCGCAAACTTTCTCGTGTGAGCAGGGAAGCTCACCTCGGGAAAAGAGGACGCGTCCAACCTCGTAAGGTTGACGCGAAAGTTGCTTTGCTACGGCAGGATTTCTAAAGCGATGATCTTTTGCGGCGTCATCACTTCTGAGCCAGCATCCAAGCGGTTGAACCTCGCGAAGAGCTTCGATAAGGAAGCAGGGGAAGAAAATCATTCTCGCCCAAAGAAACGGACCTGGAGATTGAGGACGTGAAGGGAGAAAGATTCGTCCGTTTGGATTGAGGGAGAGCGTGGCTACGAGTTCATAATTCACGAATGACGTTTCCATCCTGAACGTTCACCCACGGCGATTGGGAACGTCTCCGGGTGGCCATGGTCTTCCATTTTGATATATAGCGTTGACGGAAAGCTCATTGTATTCGGCGTATACCGACCGCCGTTCAGTGGATGGAGTCCACAATGGCCGGCATTCTTCATTACACAGTTCATTATCCTCGACGATAAAGAAAAAGAATGTCGTGTTGCGCGCTTCGCCTAATTATATCTATCTCGACGTTCAGTTGCTCGCCGTTGAGTTCGTTCCCCCTGGCCGCTCTTCGGAAACGTAAACTCCCTCATTCTTGCTGCGGATCTCGTGGGGAGACGTCACGTATATATGCATGTATGTATATTCTCCGCATACGAGTCCAGGGTCATTTCGAGACCTCCTATCCACGAGTTGAACGTGATTGTTGAGCAGCTGTTGTGCATGAATTACGCAGGTTCCTTCATACGCGGAGCCCGAGTGCTTCGTCTTGAGCGGCGCTATTCTTGCGAGCCGATCGAGTCCGCATGAGATGGATTTCGAATTATAAGCTACTATTCCTCCATCTCAGCTCCCGTCCTGTGAATTTCGGGCTCGCAATGCGTTTCGCATCCTACGCGGGTGAATTCTCTTGTGGTGAGTTCCGCGTTCCCTCTCCACGGCGAAGATTTCGGAAACATTCGTCTCAGGGCCGAATGAAAGACCGCTCCCCAGTGGACATTCTTGTTTCTTCGGAAAAGATCTCCCAGCCTCCGAGGCTCAATCATTGGTAGCGTGAGGCATTCGTGAGAGTTTCCGAATCACGCCCACGTCAGTGAGCGTGAGAGGAATATACGTGACACCCACAGGGCGGAAGAAGCTGAAGAATGTGATTCTCCTTACAGGTACCGCACGACACACGAACAGAAGACACTTCACCGGTAGGGAAGATATGCCTGCTAATGTGGCGAACCATCTCGAAGCTCACAATCCCCCGCCTGAGATCAACAGCACGCTCAGCTCCAAAAACGTCACGGGCCAGCTAGGCAGCACCGTCTATTTGCATTGCTACGTACACAACATCGGTCAGAAAACGGTGAGTTTCACTATCACGTTTTCCTCTACGAATCTCAAACAAGCATCCAATCGAAAATTCGAATGCACAACAGACCCGAGGCCCGGAAAATCCACCAAAGGAATGCAACTCGAGACCTCACGCCGAGAATGTGTAATCCGTTGGCTTCGTGAGGTGAATCGATCTCCGACGAATGCCGCTCGGGTCATTTGCAGAACGGAAGATCCGTATTGATAGTATCCGTGCGTTTCCCTCTCGTAGGTGACTTGGTTACGGCCGTCCGACTACCACATATTGACCGTTGGTATGATGACGTACACGACCGATGATCGTTTTTCGGCGGTACGGGGAGACGGTGTCAGCGATCGCGACGATTGGATGCTGCAAATCCGTGCCGTGCAGAAAACAGACCAAGGCACCTACGAATGCCAGGTCAATACGCAACATCCGATGCTGAGCTTCGATGTCCATCTCAACGTGCTCTGTAAGTGAATCATGCCATGACGTCCGGCAGCCTCCGCTGCGAACATCCAGCATCAAACACTATTCCTCGCGGGCTGCTGCCGAGGAGGTGGTTCTTCGTATTTCATTTGGGGTAGAAGCAGTCGATGTACGTCGGGACGGTTTCCGCCTCCACATGGGATCGCACATTGGGGAGAGTTTCCAGAGAAATTCCCGGCACTAAGGGGAACCCCGCAGAGCAGGACTCGGACTCGAAAAAAAAGGCTCGTAAATGAGGCAGTGGGTCTCGTGGGAACGCGGGAAAGAAGAAACTCTGGCACCCGGGTCCCACGCTGTTTCGAAGGGTCCTGGAGGTCAGGGTGGTCGCCCACCACGCAATGAGGGATTAATGCATGCGTTAATGGACGAGATTCTTATAGAGGTCTGTCATGCCTTACAGCGCCGCACGCATCCATCGAAGAAGGTCCTGAGCTTTTCGTCAACAGCGGCAGCTCCATAAGCTTAACGTGTGTTATACACGATTGTCCGCAGCCATTGAGTCACGTGTTTTGGTATCATGGCGATCGGGTCGTTAACTACGATCGGCATAGCGAAGTCAATATCAGCCTCGTGCCTCTTAGCGATAATAACAACAATAAAAAGAGCGTAGACGTACAATTGTCTCGCCTAGTCATCCACAACGCCAACAAACAGCATTCCGGAACCTACACGTGCGCTCCGGTACACTCATCACCAGCAATAGTGCAAGTGCACGTTCTACACGGTGAGTCTTTGACAAGCAGCTGCGAGACCTGCCTCTGGACAAGTAGACCTGGATGATGGATACCAAGCCGAGAAGAGCTTTTGGGATCATCCGGGGCCGGGGAGTTTCTCGTGAGGATAACTTCGTTCCCCCGGGAGAACCCAGGGGCGCCCCCTGGATGGAACAGTTTCCCTCTCTCCGCCCCGTTCAGAACGACTACAGAACGGCTACATCTTCACACTATTATTTTCCAGCCGAAGAGCAATTGGCGAGAAAATCCCACGAAGTGAGCGCCGGCACGGTCGGACATCCACTGTTCACACTGTACACTCTGGGTCCTTTACTGGCTTTACAAATGGCTTTTTTGCTCGTGGTCGCGCGGACCACGTGACAACAGCTTAACCTTAGGCTATGTTGTTCAAAAGTAAGTTTTCTCCGGCTATGCACGAAATGCATGTCGCTGTGGAGAATGAGAGGAACTCTTCCCCTGAGCCCAGACAGTGCTCTTTTGACTTGGAAGGCAGAAGAAATCGAGAGAGCCCCGGAGGAATGGTGTGCCCGTTAGCTTTAGAGAGACAGAGACTCTGAGGACAGTAGAAGAAAAAAATAGCAGCAGGAGAAAAAGAGCCAACGCTATTGAAAATTTCAGAATTTGTCTCCTGAGGAAGGAGAGTCTTCGTCCTGTACAAAGGAGACTCATGGCGCTTTCCAAATGGGCACCTCGGCGTCGCCTCTAGAGGAGTTGGAGGCTAGGGACCTCCAGACGACGCTGGATGACGAAGAGCGCTATTGCTCTCTACGGGATCCCTTGGCAGTGATGAGTGCGGGTCCGCAAGTTCTTCTCGACCCGCTGCTGGGTCCTTCGGGAGGACACCCCATGCCCCTGCCGCCGCTGATGGGCCGCATGCCTCTCTACGAGCAAAGTTTGCTGGGGATCGACGTATGTCAGAGAACGTCGGACTATGTATGATGTTCTAAGAGCAGGGTAGCACTATCTAGAGGACTCGCTTGCGGTTGCGGTCGCTCTCTAACCGTTATCTCGCGCCAAAATCGAGGAATGTACCGTCCAGAACATCTGGGCGACGCTCTCGCTCCTCCCGAATTCTTGACGCGGAAATTTTAGGGAGGGAGGGTGATCCAGAGAGTTCCAAAGAGGAACCTCATGACCGAAGGCGTTGTGGTCTCCCTTTGGACCCCAGATTCGAGAGAGCTGCGTGAGTTCGGTCAAGGAGAGTCGTTCCAGAGCCACGAAAAAGAGGAGCGTCGATCACAGCCGCCGGTCCCGCTCGAAAGGCTTTGTAAATCAGAGAAAATGATCGGGTGCGGTCGCAACGATCCACACTCAGAGGAAAACTCGAGATCTTTTTTGCAAAGGGAGAAAGATTAATTTTTCCACAAAAGCTCAATTTCCCGAACGAGAGGACGAATCAGCTGCCAGAATGCAGCCTCTTGTCCGAGCCATGTGTATAAAGAGAAAATCAACCCCGAGTCTAATCAAAATGTTGTCTAGAACTGTCGAGAACTAGTGTTCTCGACTAATGATGACGTGCCAGAAGCAGCGAGGACTCGGATCCAGACGTGAGACACGTGCTGCAGTAGCGTCGTCGACGTCGAGGCCTTCCACAACCGAAGCCTTCGAATAAAGACAGCAGCTGCTTTGATTTAAACTGTGATATACGACAGACACCTGTAAATAAATCAGAATGAATTATTGAGCTCATTGAATATCTGCGTCTTCGATTTCGAGTAGAAGCAGTCACCAGAAAGATGGATTCCAGGCTCCGAATCGAATGAACAAGATGTTCATCATACTCAAACGCTGGAGCTAATATTGTGAGTTGTGAGACGTCGTACGGGCATGAGTGCCGACTTTCTTGCATCTGAGAAATGAATCATTGGGGCCGAATCTGCAATTTCAAATTCATCAAAATCGCTGACTCGCATTCTCTGATGGGCTTGAGATTCTCAAGACCCAACGAGCGGCACCTGTGCCTCGAACAGTGGTTCACGGTTCATCATGGTTCACCACGACGCGGACGCATCGTCGTCTCTCTCAGTTTTTCTTACGCTTCAATGTTTAACTCCGCGGATAGCGCCGGAATTTAGAAGCTTCCGGAGGAGTGGTAGATCAAAAGTTTCGCATCGTGAGGTGAAGGCATGATCTAGGAATAGACGCGGATAGCTTGAAGCGATAGACTCCTCCGGCGATATCGTGGAGATTCCGTGAATTATTATCAGACTTTTGTTCTCAACTGCCTGATAGCTCGAGACCTGGAAGAGATGAAAAATCATTATCCGACGTAAACACGACCAGCTCCTCTACCAAAGCAGCGAATCAGAACGATCAGCGCGTGGACGAGAATCACTTCGGGCTGATCGTGACGAGTTCCGTGTCAGAAGGAGTGGGATAGCAGCGTGTACCTGCGAAGATGCTTCTGTAGCTGCATGCACGTGGACAGGTCTTGCATATGAACACGGTCTGGCACAGCAGAACATATCTATACGAACGTATGTGGATGTAACGATAGCTCGTTGCTCAGCAAATGTAGTATAGTCAGTGAACAGCGGCTACCACAGCCTCTCCCACGAGTAGGACTGCGAACCCGTGCACTCGCTCGCTCGGGCCTAATAGATGATGATGATGGTGGCCTGTTGTGATGGTGGCGTGAGAAAACACGCTTGTTTCCTGTGTCGAGATTTCCTCCATTCGTCCCAGTTCTAATAATCTTTCCAGTGGACCGTTTCACCGGCAGAATTCCCCATAGCCCCGCCCGGTACGCAGCCTGTCTGTTCCTCACAAAATGTTCCTCGTTCTCAATCCCAGGCGCGTCTCCGGGCCTCCAGGACTCTAAGCTCCCATCTCCGTCGAAGTCGCGACTGCGGCGGAGCGTTTTTTCTGCAGCTTATGAAGCCTGCCGGAGCCGCTGTCCATGATTCGGCCGTAAAGCGCTTTATGACAAGATTCTCATGAGCCATAAATATGACACTGCGCGTCCCGCAGCACGTCCGTACACGTGCAGAGCAGCGATCCTAAACCGCAGGTCCAGAATGTCCCGAGAGAATCAATCACTTAGTTTTTCCAGACAATAAATCGAATTAGCGCAATCACAGAACTTCCTTCATCACGTTCGGCTCGCCGCATTCACTTGCGTTTGGCGTAAATCGATCATGGGGAATTATTCCTATCCATCGTCGAAATCCTTCCCACAAACCTTGAAGTTGTTTACGAGACATTCGGCGACCTCAGCACCCGGCTCGACCCATCCTCTAGTAGATCCAAACAAACACGAAGATGTCCGTGCTCCCTAAACGCCATTTACTTCCGCGTCCACACATCCGAGCAACGACGACCAGTCGGCACACGCCGATAATTAAGTCAGATCTCTCGCTGTCCAGGTCCTTAAGGGAATGCTTATTTGAAATGCTCGTAGCGTACGGGGCCTTTTTCTACCAGAGGCTACTCCTACTAAGTGAGTAGTGAGTAGGACCTGTTCAGAGTTCCGCCTACTATGGCGAAGCCATCTAGCGCAGGCGTACGATGGGGAAAGTCCTCCGGGTTCGAATTCCGGTCTTGACGCCCATCGAATCGGATCCGGGCGGGGAGCTGAAATGAGGGAAATTCCTGACCATATCGTTGGGTGTCAGGAGTTCTCCCGATAACCATGAAGGCCGGATATGTATTATTTGTCCGTACCGAGCTCTGGAAGTCGATCCGATGAAGGAGTTGTTCTCGATCGAGCGGTCGATGAGATTAACAGCCCCGTCGCTATATCATGCGAGGGGAATAACAACGTTAGCATTGACATTCTGTTCATGAAACGCTGTCCGTCATACGTTATATTCAATCAACGATGCTCATTGACCTTAATCATTATTCAGCGCAGTTCGAGCTCACTGCAAGCCTCCCCGAGCTCGGGCCTCCGTCAGACGCGAACACCAAGCCCTCCTGCGGCCGGTGCGCTCGAAGCAAGAGCTTGGACACGATGCGAGTCGAGACTCCCCTCACGGAAATGCAAAACAGCTGAAATCGATTCAGCGAGCACGAGGTGAACGACGATTCGAGAGTCGCTCTGTCCGAAGGAGGAGCCTCCGCTCCGATGACACGTCGAATATCTACATACTCCATTGCGTACTTTCGCATCGATGGCGAACACTCTACTCCTCGAAGACAAACAAAGTAAAGTATAATCTCTGTCGGCAGTCGGATCGTCCAGCTCGCTGGAGCTCACGTCAAGCTGGTGCTCATCGTTCGGAGTTCCGAGAAATGACCACTCGAGCAGAACGGAGCCCGTCGTCGAATGAGTCATACTCGACGAGTCGTCCGTTTTCCGCTTTTCACTCTCGATGACAGGACATTCCAGCACAACAGGGAGCACAGCAACGACGATGACGATTGTTCGGCCGACTGGCACTAGAAGAGTCGAAGACGCAAGTGACAGCGGAGCCGCAATTTCCGACAGCCGTAACGTCACCGTCTCGATGCATCCGACAGAGGCTCGCGAGAGATTTCATGCTTGCCACGAGTCGGTCCTGGAAAACAGCGTTCGATCGAGCCCCGGCCAAATGAGCGCGAATCAATATTTGTGAATCAACAGCCATCAGAAGTCGAACGAAAAGCCGAGGATAATCTGAAACATTGATTCTTACGACCGACTTAATCCAGCCAAAAGTAGGAATCAGTCCAAAGACGCGTACTCTTCGAAATCACGAGTGTAACGCAGAGCGGGCGGCAGGCCCAGAAGCCCTTGGGAATCGGCGACCGGGACTATCCGGACTCCCGCAGGGGAACACGATCCCCGGATGTATGTTCGTAATTTTGCCTCACAGCGACGACACCGAATTGAATGAGTCCCGCAGCCAGCCAGTCAGTCCGAATCGGGGGAGCGACAGGCCGCACAGGTCGTCAATGGTCGCAGTAGAGCATGCGGAAGTTGGCTCATGTCCCGTGGGCTTTGGGGCTTTGGAGCCAATTGTTGCGATACTTCCAACAAACGAGTCGAGCTTAATTAGTTCGTATTTTTCCCCGTATGAAACGAAGTACGGCGACTTCATAAGCCGATTAGAATGAAGAAGCCACCTCGCCAACTAGCCTGTTGCCGCCGGGAAACTCTGCCACCGACACGTCGGCGCCGTTGTCGCCGTGAGCGCCCGACAGCAGAGGGTTATCCGACAAGCTCGCGCTTATCTCCACGCGTGTTTCACTCGAACGGGTTTTTCTACCGCCACAGACTTCGGTTCTCCAAGTTCGTGTTCGACGCGTCGAACGGGGAACTCGATGCAGCTCCAGAACGAAGGTAAGAGTCGAGTTGTCGTTGCCGGCCGTTGCTACCGTGTGTCCGGACGTGTTCTCACTGGATACGTTCTCATTTCTGAACAAATTAGATTTCGTCCGCGCATGCAGACGGCCACCGGCATACAGTCATAACTAGATTAGAGAGAAGAACTCAGTTATTTTTTTCTATCCGCTCCCGTACACGTTGGTAAGTAAGAGTACGTCCTGGTATCCTTCAGCCCCCCCCCTCCCCAAAGGTTCGTTCCTATGCATGCATGTATGTATGTACGTGCATCAAACTATTTGTGTATGCGCCAGCTTGCATGCGTAACTCTGTATGCTTTTCTTGTGGAAGAGGGAAGATGCTCGTCGAGTCCCGCAAAATTGCGTCAGTGAGAACGCAGCCGCGAAACCGCTCACGCGGGAGCGGGGATTAGGGACTTTCTTCTTCCTTAAAGCGTCCGACGGAATTCTCGTGCTGAGCAGGAATGACTGTTGCAATTTCCTCCCCTGTCCGGAAGGTTTTTGAGCAATCAAACTCATCCGGTATTCTGAGCATGCGCCCGGGAATTTTGACACTTTTTCATTAGAAACCCATCGGTTCGCTTCACGCGGAAATGCTTCTCGCGTACAGGCCGGATATGGTGGGGTTTTTCTCGGCATTCAATCCGCTGAGCTCCTTCCAGGACATGGAAT